AGGTTATCATATTCTGAGAAACTGGATTTAGTTCTTTTCTGAAAATCGCATCTCTACTATATTCAGAGAGAGAGAGAGAGAGGTCCGAGAGAGAGAGAGATCCGAGAGTGAGAGAGAGATACGTGAGAGAGAGAGAGATCTGAGAGAGAGAGAGGGAGAGATCCGAGAGAGAGAGAGAGAGAGACATGGCGGACCCTCTTCCCCATTCGGAGCCGAAGAGGGAGAGGGTCCGGCGTTTCACAAACGCCGGACCCCCAGGCCTCTGCCTGCCAGCAGGGGGGTCCGGCGTTTGTGAAACGCCGGACCCTCTCCCCCTTCGGTGCCGAACAGGGAGAGGGTCTCGCGTTTCACAAACGCTGGACCCCCACACCTCTGCCTGCCAGCAGGGGGGCTAGGCGTTTGTGAAACGCTGGACCCTCTCTCCCTTTGCTGCCGAAGAAGGAGAGGGTCCGGCATTTCACAAACGCTGGACCCCCACACATCTGCCTGCCAGCAGGGGGTCCCGGCGTTTGTGAAACGCCGGACCCTCTCCCCCTTCGGTGCCGAAGAGGGAGAAGGTCCAGCGTTTCACAAACACCGAACCCCCACGCCTCTGCCCGCCAGCAGGGGGGTCCGGCGTTTGTGAAACGCCGGACCCTCACCCCCTTCGGTGCCCAAGAGGGAGAGGGTCTGGCGTTTCACAAACGCCGGACCCCACACCTGTGCCTGCCAGCACGGGGGTCCGGCGTTTGTGAAACGCTGGACCCTCTTCCCCTTCGCTGCTGAAGAGGGAGAGGGTACGGCGTTTCACAAACACCGGACCCCCACGCCTCTGCCTGCCAGCAGGGGGATCCGGCGTTTGTGAAACGCCGGACCCTCTCCCCCTATGGTGTCGAAGAGGGAGAGGGTCCAGCGTTTCACAAACGCCGGACCCCCACACCTCTGCCTGCCAGCAGGGGGGTCCGGCGTTTGTGAAACGCCGGACCCTCACCCCCTTCGGTGCCGAAGAGGGAGAGGGTCTGGCGTTTCACAAACGCCGGACCCCCACACCTGTGCCTGCCAGCACGGGGGTCCGGCATTTGTGAAACGCTGGACCCTCTCCCCCTTCGCTGCCGAAGAGGGAGAGGGTACGACATTTCACAAATGCTGGACTGCCACGCCTCTGCTTGCCAGCAGGGGGGTCCGGCGTTTGTGGAACGCCGGACCCTCTCCCCCTTCAGTGTCGAAGAGGGAGAGGGTCTGGCGTTTCACAAACGCCGGACCCCCACCCCTTTGCCTGCCAGCAGGGGGGTCCGGCGTTTGTGAAAGGCAGGACCCTCTCCCCATTGGGAGTCGAAGAGGGAGAGGGTCCGGTGTTTCACAAACGCCGGACCCCCACACATCTGCCTGCCAGTAGGGGGTTCCTGCGTTTGTGAAACGTTGGACCCTCTCCCCTTTCGGTGCCAAAGAGGGAGAGGGTCCAGTGTTTCACAAACGCTGGACCCCCACGCCTCTGCCTGCCAGCAGGGGGGTCCGGCGTTTGTGAAACGCTGGACCCTCTCCCCCTTCGGTGCCGAGGAGGGAGAGGGTCCAACGTTTCACAAACGTCGGACCCCCACGCCTCTGCCTGCCAACAGGGGGGTCCGACGTTTGTGAAACGTTGGACCCTCTCCCCCTTCGCTGCCGAAGAGGGAGAGGGTCCGGCGTTTCACAAACGCCGGACCCCCACACATCTGCCTGCCAGCAGGGGGGTCCGGCGTTTTTGAAACGCGGGACCCACTCCCCCTTCGCTGCCGAAGATGGAGAGGGTACGGCGTTTCACAAACGTCGGACCCCCACGCCTCTGTCTGCCAGCAGGGGGGTCCGGCGTTTGTGAAACGTCGGACCCTCTCCCCCTTCGGTGTCGAAGAGGGAGAGGGTCTGGTGTTTCACAAACGCCAGATCTCCACACCTCTGCTTGCCAGCAGGGGGTCCGGCGTTTGCGAACCGCCGAACCCTCTCCCCCTTCCGTGTCGAAGAGGGAGAGGGTCTGGCGTTTCACAAACGTCGGACCCCCACACCTCTGCCTGGCAGCAGGGGGGCCCGGCGTATCCGCTTCGTGCCCGCTTTGTGCAGAGGGTGTAGTGCCCGCTCCGCTTCGTGCCCTCGTGCGGTCCAGCGTTTGCTATACGCCGGCCCCTCTCATCGTTCGCCACAGTTAGGGGAGTGGGTCCAGCGTTCTACACACGCCGGACCCCCACTGTGCTTCGTGCCCCCAAGGGGTCCGCGTTTGTGAAACGGCGGACCCTGTCCCCCTTCGGCACAGATAGGGGGGAGGGTCCAGCGTTTCACAAATGCTGGACCTCCACTCAACTTCTTGCACCAATATAGACCCTCCCTGGAACGATCACTTGAGAGGGACTGCTGATAGGGGCTACAGTTGGTGATGTGGTGGGTGGTGCGCAGGCAGTATCTGTGATCGTACGGTGCGCTAGCCCATGGGAGTTCGTGTGCAGAGGGTGTATAACCCGCTCCGCTTCGTGGCCTCCTGGGGTCCAGCGTTTGCGAAACGTCGGACCCTCTCCTCCTTCGCCTCAGGTAGGGGAGTGGGTCCAGCGTTCCACAAACGCCGGACCCCCGCTGCACTTCGTGCCCCCAAGGGGTCTGCAGTTGTGAAACGGCGGCCACTCTCCCCCTCCGGCTCAGATAGGGGGGAGGGTCCAGCGTTTGCGGAACGCTGGACCCCCACTCGACTTCGTGCAGCAATGTAGACCCTCCCTGGAACTATCACTTGCTTATTGTCTGCTGTTAGGGGATCCAGTTGGTGATATAGCGATGAAAGTTGTCTGTTTGTTCAGTCGGTCTTTGCGTATGTTTGCCCGTCCAGGAAGGAAACCGAGGACTTCAGGAGATGGGGAGAAAAGGGTCAACAACAGGTCCAAACTCTACCGTGATAAGCTTTGGGCTCTTGAGTGGGTGGGTGGCACCCATGAGGCCGGATGTGGTGCTATAGTTTTCTTGACGGAAGACGGAGGTTTGAATTGGTACTGTTGTGGTGGCATCATGAAGTCCGAGCGCGATAAGGCGAAGACGGAGAAGGGCAAGGTTGACGACAGAGACTTGAGGAAATTTCATCTCACTTCCGTTTACGATGAACAGGGCACCGACTGGGTCGGCGCCAACAAGAAAGTCAGCCTCGACCTAGCCCTGTTTAAAGGGTATGGTCAGAGGGCGTTCGGTATGAAACCCTTTGAAGGGAAGGGGGGTGGAAGTGAATTTCGGATGGTTCACCCGGTGGATTTCCTTAACAAAACAAACAGATATAGAAAAAGTGTTCAGTACCCGAAGGTAGACGCCGGTCATCAGTTCACAGGACCGCTTGTCCCGTACGACACTCCGGTCCAGGGTGTCGTTGGCGTTTTGCAGTCTTGTGGGGAAGCACGCCAAATGCCTTCAACTTCTCAGCAACATTCAAATGTTGCTCAGAAGGTAATTACGTATTCTAGGCGGTCAGGGGCAGTTTCATCGGACAAGGCTGCGAACAGGAAGCAACTCGCCACACCTCCACCAAAACTACAAGGACCTGCAGCGACCACTGGCACTTCACACTCGCGCCCAGACGGATCTTCAAGCCATCGACCAAAGGTCTGAGGAGCAAACGGAAACAGAGGAGGATGTTGGGTTCCGCAGACGGGACGTATGGTCCTTGGAGGACTCACGAGACGAGGGCGCCAAAGGAGACAACGAAGATAACGTGGAACTCGAACAACGTCCTGGTGGCAGTGAGCGATGTGGTGACGACTGTTCGGATGACGAACACAATGACAGGGAACAAAGTGAAGTGGGTGCGCCGAGTGGTGGGCCACACAATGACAGGGAACCAAGTGAACGAATGCAGAATAAGGATGTGGAGGACGATGGAGGGGATGGCGATATAGAAACCGGTAGAGCTGCGAAGAGTAGGGGTAAGCGGAAAGCAAATGCATCCCTTACACCAGCGGCAGTGAAGAAACGAGCCAGAAAAGAAGCTTTGGATGATGCTCGATGTGCCTTGGATGCATCACAGGAGACGCTTGGCGAGGCCGCCAAAAAACGTAAAGAAGGCAGCCATTTTCGCAAAACATCGCAACCTAAGAGGGTTGCACGCTCATCAAGGCTTCTGAAGTCAGATGATTCAAGCGACGCCGCTGAAGGGGTGGACCCTCGTCGGCCTAACCTCATTGCCGAGGATGAAATGGAAACGAAGAGGCCCCGTGCGGTCGACATGACACGGTGCTTCTTTCTGGAGTACGATGAAGACGACAGGAAAAAAAAAGACGTGTCAAGGGTTTGCATAGATGTCTTGTCGATTCTTCCGATTCCCGAGGGGGATATCGCATTCAATCAGCGGTCGCTGAACAAGGAAATTGTTGCAGGTCTCGATGCAGCAATTGATATGTCAATTGCTCAAAGGGGTGTGGAGGATGATGCTCCGTAGGAACCGCCAGAGTTGATTCGCGCTCCAATTGCGCCTTGTGCGGATGACCCCAATGCCCAAGGAACACGTGTTCTTCCGGAGGACTTTGATTGGAGGCGTGCGAAGGAATACTTCTATTACCCAGTTGCTGGGCGGCACACCTCAGAGGCCATGAAAAGAGCGGTGCGTCGGGGATCTCCTGCTATTGACATATACGGTTTGCACGATTATGACCGCGTGCACGTTGTTTACTTTGACGACGATCACAAACACGGGTATTCGTTTGTTTCGACATACGACAACACGAGAGGTGACCGTGCCATGTTACCGTCGTTCCACCAAGCGTGTGAAGACATAAGAGGTTTTAGGCGGTTGAAGAATTACATCGAGCCTGTGGGTTACAAGGTGGCCGAAAACGACATCAACGGTAAAATGCACCAGGAGACGTGGCGGGAATTTATGAGGATTTGCATGGGCCGGTCATGTGAGAAAAGCCTTTGGACTGAATGTATGCATCCGAAGTGGCAGCCCGACTGGTCGAACTGGATGAGAGGATACATGAACGTCGCGACGTGTAAGAGGTGGATATGGCCGTTAGTGCAAGAGTTCTTTTAGAAGTTCGAAGCAGGAGAGTTGCCGCTTTATGATAGCAGGTGCCCTAAAGATATGCCGGGGAGGAAAGAGGGGAAGCTTCTGGGGCAATATACGGAAGAAGTCAATGGGAAAAAGGATGTGTTCCATTGCATCGCGGCTAAGGATGGGGGGCATGGAGCCACCGTCACCTTCAAAGATCTCGTTCCATCAAACTTCAAATGCTTTGGAGATATGACGGCGCGAGAGAAGGAAGTCGCATTGAGGCTGATGATCAACAAGAAGGTCATAGCCACCGCTAGACCAGTTCCTACGGGGAAGTTGAACATGAACAACCTCCTCGACATTATCATGCGGGAGAGGTACATGATGCGTCTCTTCAACTACATCGTGTTCAAATCGGAGAACAGAGAGAATGGCGACTGGAACCAAAAGTTCTTCTTCGATTACAAGGGCATGACAGAGAGGTACGGTGTCAAGGCAGAAGCATGGGACGAGGAAAGGGATAGAATCCCTTTGGAGTTCGTTAGGAAGGTTCCAAAACCACTTGGTGGCGACCAAGAAATGAAAGGGCTGAAAGGAGCAGGGTTGAAGGCTACAGAGGCATTGTATAAAGATGCGCCCTTCCATTTTAAGGTCTTCGTGTACCAGGCGATAGGAAAGGTGGATTTGCTCACGGCGGAAATGCGGCGATTGTCAAATGTTGCGTTTCACCTTTTGTGGGAAGGGAAAGGGCGACGAGCAACATTGTTGTCGATCAATATGCACCCAAAGGAGTTGCTGCCTACGCAAGATGAAGTCGTTACCGCTGCCACAAACCTCAACTGCAAGGCCGCCATCTTGGATCTCCCATTACCGTCGCATTGTTCTGCGTGGTCGTCGGAGGACTTCGACGCTCTATACAAAATGATGTCAAAGTTGTGCGGCGAGAATTGGACATTGATCGTATTCGCGCCACAGAAACATCACAAGACCGTCATACGACACCTCTACCACTGGGAGAACGTCGAGGTGATATCAGGCACTTGGAAGCGCTTTATGGGGGTCGGAACGACTGTTAATAAAAATGGGAATATGCAAATTGAGAGTAAGGACACAATGGCGATCGTTCTGCATCCCGAGGGAGGCGACCTCTGAAAGGTTACAAGAGTGTCGCGCTCAGAAGCAGACATTGTGGAAGTAAACGTCGTGGAAGACTTTTTTAAGAGGTGTGCATCAAAGCATGGCGGCGATGAAGACAATGAAAAAGAGGAGTATGGGCGTTGGGAACGAGAGCCGCAGCGGTTACAAACCTTATGCGGCTCATTTCTGCATGAGGACGAAGGGGTTATAGTCCTTGGGAAGCCACATGCTGGCCTTGCGTGGGAGCTTTTGAGCGCCGGGAACCATGTATTTGCGTGTGATGCATCGTCAAAAGACATTGCATATTTGACAAAGGCCATCAAAATACTCGCCAAGGATCCGAGAAACGATTGCACCATCGAGAAACATAAGAGCACACAACGCTCGGACAGGGACATGTACCACAAGTTGGGGAAGAAGAGAGAAAAAATGTGGGACTACTTGTTCTAGGGCGACCCCAAGACTGCATTCCAGCACGAGTACATCTACCGTAAAGTGATGGCACAAGAAGCATATGGTGGTTACCACAAGGCGGAGGTGGGGGCATTCGCGTTGTTTGTGGCGCGATGCGAAGAGCAGTTCATGAGACATTGCAGCAAGTTGACGTGCAGCGACTACAGTGACGTCGCACGTAGAACAGATGCGTGGAATCCGATTGACAGCGATGAAGAGACTGAGACCTCAGACCTTGAAATCGACCTACGGGTTAAGCGTTCTCGAGATGGTGCACATGGTCGTGAGGGAGTGCAAAATGTTCCGGACGGCAGCGTGCAAAACGAGAACCCTGAAGGAGGTCTGTAGCAATCCGGACTACTGAGCACTCATGTGGTTGACACGCAGGACAAGGCAAGTTCCGCTGGTGAATTCCCAAGGGATTCACCGACACCCGTTCAAGCCGTAATTAACACCCTACTTCACGGCAATCGCTACGGATATTAAGGAGAGAAGAGGTCCATCGGACGGATGTCTGGAGGGATGAGGATGAACGACGTGCGGGAAGATGCCGACGAGGATGACTTGGTTGTTCCAGGTGTCTTCCTGAAGTTGACGCCCGGTGATGATATTCCAGAAAGCTTCATTCAGGGCTCCACCTCGCCCTATGTATTTCATGACGTGGGGCAAGAGACGTCATCAGAGAAGTGGGGGCATCACATACTGTGGCACCCAGATGTGTTCGAACCGTGCATTGACGAGGGGAAGTGGGCAATGGCACTGCATCTGAGGGATGGCTGGAAAGTCAAACCCATGATGGCAGAAGATTCATGGTTGAAAACCACAAACGGTAAAATTGTATTACGCGTTACGAAGGAGAACCATGGTGTCGATGAAGCCCTATATGCGCGAAGGCCCAATCATTGTTCGAGTCTCTACGCTCCAACAATCGCGTGGAGTACAAGCGTTTTACGACTTTCCATCAAGCCGGTCGTATAACAAAATCGATTGGAAAATCGTACAGCCTCCCATATGCCACGGACTCGATAACATTTCTGTTGGATGTTCGAAGTTTGCGGCAATGTCGCAGACTAACTTTGCAGTGAGTGCAGAAGAAGCGCTGAGTCAAACTCGTGTCGCAGCAAACAACACAGAGAAGGGAAACACCCTTCTTCAAGGAGATGGAGACCGAACGACTACGGGGCTTAAGAAAACTCTGGCGTCTCTTGTGGTCGAACAAAAATCAAACGTTGCATCATACGCGCCTCCGCTTGTGACACAGCTGGGAAACGAAGGGGCATCGCAAATGGAGAGTCCCACTCCTTCAGTGGAGGATGTGGTTATGAAGGCGATGCAACCAGGTGTGTGTATAGAACTTGCAGCCGAGGCGAAAGAAAACTCATAAGAGATGATGAAACTGTTGAATGATGTGGAGAGGGAAGAGAAGAATAAACTCGAAAGGTCCAACACATCGGCCAATGTGATTAATTGCATTTCCAAGAGCGAGGAAGGGCAAGTTGCACATACAAAGGGGGATGCTGGCGGTGAAGATGTTGGGGAAGATAACAAGGAGCAGAACGAAGGGGACGAAGGAGAGAGACTCGTTAGACGTTCGACAAGAGAAAAGGCAAAAACACAAAGGATGAATATTTAGAGACATGAACAGGGTAGTGTGTGTGTGTGTGTGTGTGTGTATGTGTGTGTGTGTGTGTGTGTATGTGTGTGCGTGTGAGTGCGGGTGTGTGTATATACGTATCCAAGTGAAGTGGAGTGTCTATGTGTATCTGTGTGTAGATAGAGTGACTACGCGCCATTGATATGAACAATATGAATGACATAAAATGTTATGCAAAGTTTTGAGAGGATTGAGGAATAAAAAGTTAATCGTAATATGTCGCACCATCTTTCTCTCTCTCTCTCTCTCTCTCTCTCTCTCTCTCTCTCTCTCTCTCTCTCTCTCT